GTAAGGCACCCTCGAGGGCGAAACTGCGGCATGGCGGAGTCTGCATAAGTTTTTGGCAAAGAGGACAACGCCAGCGCCGTTGAAGAGCAAGGCGGATGCACCGAAAACAATTGCTATGCCCACAGGCATATCTACCAAAAATCAGTATTCGGGGAAGTGGATGGTTTGGTTATGAGCGGACGTACACGACGGGGTGGGACATGAGTTCCAAGCAGATCGAGCAGCGGAAATGGTGGGGAACGACAGCGGGACTGCGTGGTGGACGCTCAGGACCGGTGAAGATGTCATTGTCGGTGATGGTCGAATACAAGCGGGCACCGGTGTACTGCAACGCGGCTGGACGAGGGGAAATGCGCCATCGGTGGTGACGTAGAGCGGCAAGACGGATTTCAATGGCCTCCGCCGATATAAGGCGTCGATAAGTTGCGACGCAGGTGTTGTCATCGGATGAGTCGACTTCGACGAGGGGAGTTCCACGGGGGATGATGCGATTGTGGTCCATCCGGTCGCGGAAGACCACAGCAGCGTCCCGAGCAGCCTCGCTGTCCTCAGGGACTGGAACGTTGGAATTGCGGCGAGGGCGGCCCAAAGCTGAAGGAGTCGATTAAGCACTACACCCAAAATGCAAATAGTAGACGTACCGACACTGGCTTCGTTGGTCAGAGATGTCGCTACTGGGTATAGTGAGTCAGTCGTGTTGTTTGAGTTGCTTGTGCGCCATACCCTGGTTCATCCCTCGTTGCGATCGGCGGGGTAGCGGCGCTATTGCAAGTGAGACAAGGGAAAAAGGGAGTTAGTCAAGATTGGCCTACCGATAACTCGGGTCCCATTGCCATCCCCAGTGGCTCTGGGGAGCGGCTCACGGCGAGGGGGCATGGGCATGGGGGAAAGGGGGGCAACGAGAACTTAGCCAAAATTTAAAGACGTGGCCCCCATAATGAGGGCCCATTCCCGTCGTACCGCCAAGGACATGTCAACGCAAGATTGTTGACTTCTTGCTCAGCTGTTGCCGTGGTACGGTCGACAGGAGGGTCGCTTGGTGCCAGTGGTGGTGGACACGAATCAAGATGGATAATGACACGAGGCATGCTTGACACCGTGGCTATCTTCGGCAACTCACCGGCACCACGCATTGCCGGCACTGATCCCAAATGATATTGCCCTTGCCGCCCAGCGGTCATGTCTTCTTTGCCCACTGTTTGCCTTCTTAGCATGGAAAATCTTGGTCTAAGCCTTGGTTTTTTGTTCCGAAAGTCAGCTAATCTCCCTAAAAAGGCGCTCCTTCAGCGCTGGAGCCTCGGCCATAACCATGTTTTCGCCACCAACCATACCTCCAACCACACCGCCTTCACCGCCCCCATGGCCACACAACGCACCTCCCAAGGCTGTGCTCCTCGCTCGCATGTGCCATGAAACTTACCGGATGGATCGTCGTCGGGAGTTGCGTGCAGACGCCAAGGCTCCCACGCACTGTTTGTGGTGCGAGGGAGCCTTTGATTCCATGTATCATTGTCGAATGCCTGTCTGCAGCCACAATCCCCCCGCCTGCTTATCATGTTTTTTGCTTTTTCACGAGTCTCACCCCTGCGGTCCCATTGAGGTGAGAGGCATCGAAATCTTGAATGCCAAGTACTGAATTCATGCCTTTTAGTCGTGGGATGGGACTACCTGGACACCACTGCACCTTTCTTCTCTCGGACATGTTTGGCAAAGGGGACATCGCCATGAAGCGTGCCCTAACCCGGGCCCCGTACTCGTCGCGCAGATGGATCTCACGGGGATGATTGAGCCATACGACCTTTACGCGTGCCAGTGCAATTGCGAATGATATCAAGATTTGGCTAGTCGTGTTGTAGTAGTTTAGCCGTTTAACACGACCGTCAAACACGAGACGTCAAATTTGTGATGGTCACTTAGTAACACTCTTGGCGCTGACCACCATGCGATTACCCATGTGCTCCCCTTCCTTGCGCTCCTCTTGCGCTCTGCTTTGCTCTTCGACAAACAATGGGCCGACGCGGTAGAAATCGCCGAGTTTACTTCGACGAAGACCACGATTTCGCCTATGGCGACGAGCAAATCGACATATCCCTTGACAGCCAAAGGTCAACGACAACTGCTTTCAATCAGGTTCCAAAACGCCCTCGACATGAAGCGGAGAGTGGAGGTTTCGTGGAGGAAGGAGACAATCAGCTTGCGAACTGGCTGCCAATGGAGGAGGACCGAGATCATGATGGTCTCGACATTCTGGCTGCCTCGATTTCCTCCATCGACGTCGAGCTTGACGAACATGTGGCTTTGAAGCGCAAGCGATATGAAAGTGTGCGTGTACTGGGCTATACCTCATTCTAGCCGTTTTAACGACCCCTTTCCTTTAGGATAACCCACTCTCCGTATGGCGCGAGTTCATGGGTCTCTTTCTGCACGAGCAGCTGCGTCGACATGGATTAGGCTCGACTCCAGCATGCTCCTTGTGTCACCCTCTATGGCTAGATCTATGCATAAAATGCTGGTGAGGTCCACAGAAAGCTATCCATAAGATATGGGTGTTCCACCAGAGACCTCTAAGTGAGACTTGTGACAGGAATGGTGACAGGAGATCAAAACTGATATTACACAACAGGATTGACAGATATCACTTATGTAATATCATATATAATATCCTTAAGTCCTATTTCTTCAGGCCGATGACCCGGTATGTAGTTAGGGGGACTGTGTGATAGGGAAAAGAGATTATCATCCTAATTGGGATGAAATTGATGGATCTCTATATAGCCATCAGAATCACTGATGCCAATCAAAAATGGTTCCACATCAAGGTATATATCTAGATGCCATCACTCCATCACTGATAACCCTCTCAGGTAGTCTAATAATAATAAATTCAAGGGCTGTTATATATTACAAATAGCTGGACCCATATCTTATGCATAATATTCCCTGGACACCACCCATATCTTATGCATAGATCTGACTATAGGAGCTGCTTGTGTGGCACTAGCGACGATGGACTGTTTCGCTGCGAGCAATGCGGCGAACACGTCCAATGCAAATCTTGTTTGGTCGAGCAGCATATCAGAAATCCGCTGCACGTTGTCAAGGTATGTCGAATTCTTACTTCTTTCTTCCCATTCCAGTGGCTTAGGGTTAACGCTTTAATTCAGGAGTGGACGGGTCAGTTCTGGGTCCCGATTGGGCTCTTTACCACGCGAGCGAATGCTGTTGGCCACCCCGGAATAGGGTGCGTCTATCAATTGGGCCACGCTGGCAGCCCGTGCCCCTTCCCTGGCAAACGACGCTCCATGGTTGTTTTGGATGTCAACGGTATCTTCACCGTTGATATTCAATACTGCGATTGTCGCAACACCAACGGTAGCGACGCAGTGCCGCAGCTTCTTCGCCAAGCCTGGTTTCCAGCAACAACTACGAGTCCGGCGACATGCGCGACATTCCAGCTTTTAGAGCTGTTCCGACTTTTGCACGCAATTGGGAACATCAACGTGCAAGACTTCGTTCGCGCTCTGGAACGTTTAGTGGATGCAACCTCCACAGAGGATGTACCGGTGCGTCTGTATTCTGTATTCTCGCGATTGAATGCTCTCATCGTTGACAAACAATCTTGTAGGATCGTTACAACGCTTTCGGTAGAATGGCTCGAGAGTACGATTTCCTCACTCGTCTCAAACGAGGCGGGACAGGGACACGAGCCGGATGGTATACGTCAAACACCGACTGGGGCCGTCGCTGTCCGCTGCTGGGCCTGTCCCCACGTTGACCGTAACCTTCCCCGTGGTTGGGACACCGTACCATCGCATCGCCAGCAAGTTTGAGTGCAGTTTTTGTCGTATAAGTCTGCTCACTATCTGCAGATATCTGTACCGTCTGTTCATTGCGATGGACTCCAACTTCCGGATGAAAAACCGCCTCCGCGCCAACGAAATTCAGGACGACCCTCTGGGAGATGGGCTAGGGTTATTTCGTCGAGCGTAGCCCCTACCTAGAGCATATTCGCAACCGGATCACCGAGAAGGATGTGAGCTTTTGCGTCCTCTGCCCATGCCCACATCGACTGAATTTGTCTAAGGTTAGCTCTTGTGCATCGTTTGCGGCTTTGCTTCAGAAGGAGACGAGGACCACGACTGGTCTGAGGGTTTCGGGAGTGGCTGGGTGTGTCTGCGCTCGCCATGGAGTTTTGTTGAAGATTGGTGATCTGCAAAAGGGGAGTATATACAAGAGTAATGGGACTGGGACTGGGACAATGGGACTCGAGTCCCACTTTCCCCCGTCCCAGTCCCATTCCCAAAGTCCCGGAGTGGGACTCAGTTACGACACATCACCCACGTTGATGGATTGACGTGTGTCGCATCAACTGGGTTGCGGCGGCGCGACGGCCGGGGTTTTCCACCCCGGACCCCGACCAGGGCGTCGCCCTGGACCCACCCTGCCGGGGGCATCCGCTCGCCGCGGGGCCCCGCTGCGCGGAGCGTGGGACTTCTTTCCGGTGTGTGTCATCTTTTTTTCTTGCTCTTTCCGCTGAAGTTTGATAGGGTGGCGGCGCCGGCCGCGGCGGCCAGGGTTTTCCACCCCGGACCCCAACCAGGGCTTTGCCCCGGACCCCACGCTGCCGCGGGCTGCCGCTCGCCGCGGAGGCCCGCTGCACGGCACTTCCTTCATATATTTTGATTGATGCATGATGCTGATTGCTTTTCTAGCACTCGGCTACGCGTCCTTGGCGCCGTGGCAGTGGGACTCGCCCCATCAAAGTGGGACTGGGACCATCAACGTGGGACTCAGTCCGATTTGACGAGTCCCAGTCCCACTACTCTCGTCACTCCTCGCAAAAGGGAGAGCGGTGAGTTTTGCTTCACCGCAAAGGTTGATCAGTCGGACTTATTTTCCTCCTCAGCTGGTGTAACGTTGACTGGGTGCTTTTGGCCTGCTTGATCATAGCCAGAGGACTGCGTTCGGTTGGCATCGCATACGATATAGTCTGTCAATGGATGATTCATTTCCTCCAGCGAGCCCATGCAGTCATCGAGGGGAAGGCAGATGTGTCCAACCTGATGACTGACCTTGACGGTCTCGAACTAAAATTCGGCCTTCCTGTCTGGCACGCGGAGGCCCATGACGCGATCTGTCGGGCGAAGCTCGCGTTGAGCTATGTGCGCGGGATGGGCAAGGTTGATGGGGAAGCCTCGGAGCGCTTTTGGTCAGCCTTGAATCCGGCTAGCTGGGCGACGAAGGAGATGGGCCAGGGTGCTCGCCAAGACACCTTGGAGGATAAAATCGACCATTTAAATTTCGAAAAAAATGTGCATTTAGGTGAGAACACGGTCTGGTTAGCACTGCATTTTACTGATTGTTGCTCGTCTCTTTTCAAGGAAGGACCCTCGCGCGAAAGCTCATTGTCGCAGTCTCTGAACGTCGCAGGCAAGGGGGTGAATTTGCCAAGTTGGATGGTAGTGTCGCCAAGAAGAGACGGGAGCAATGGGCGGCCATGATGGATGCATGGTACGAGGACGACTCAAAGCCCAACCCATTCATCGTAGTCGGGGGGAAGGAGGGTAAGTGTATGGGGGACCAGATGGAGCGTATCTCATTCCTTTCATAGCCGGTCCCTCAGAGCGTCAAATAACTGAGGAGCTTAATAAAGAAGAACTGGAGGAGGCTCGTCAGGGACGCCACGCGTTCCTCGATGGCAAGAAGACAGTGACTGCTTTCGTCAAAGCAGGCCTAAGGCTAGAGGCAATGCAGTATGTCGACACAATATGATCAACTTTCACCCACTAATCCGCGTTCCGTAGAGCAAAGATCATTACAGCGCTTGGCAACACGGCGCTTGCGACCGCTGACCGAACGAGCAAGATACAAGAACGTTGTTTAACCTTGTTGAAGGAGATCAAGGCCTTCGAAACCCTCCAACTCACCTACATGCCGGGTGTCGCTGATCTGCGCGAAAGAGATGAAGAAGGCCGAGACGCAGACTCACCGCCCCCTCAACCGGAGCGGCTCCGGTTATATCTGCCGTCCGAGCTGAGCGAGGAGGACCGCAGAGTGGTCGCAAATGGTCGGGTTGTGGAGACAGAGGCGCGGTTGCGAAAGGGGCAATGTGGGGATGCATTGACGGACTTGCGCAAAAAACTACATGCCCAACAACACCTCTATTGGTATCGCGACAGCAATATGGTTGGGCAAAGGCAGCGCACCCGCTCAGTGACGCTGACGGCACGGATGGATGAGGGTCGTTCGGTGATTGTGGCCAAGTACCGACGAGCTCAGGCGGCGATGATCGCTCTGAAGGGTTCGGCCTATGCCCCTCAGTATCGGCAGCTACTTGATGAGGATGTGAATTCGCATTGGAATCCGGACGATGCGGAGGAGGAGGAGGCCAGTCGAAGGCTTCGCAATGCCGATGGATCGCGAGCTGCTCGGACGGAACCTAATACCCGACGAGGGCCGAAAAAAATCTCGTGGATCTGGAATGTTGGACAGGGTGTCGATCAGGCCGAACTGCATGACTGTAAGTGGATCACCACGTGAAGATTGCCAATCATTGATATCTTACAGCTTTCCGGGTAGAGTGGTGCAAGGCTCGAGCGAGGAAAGAGCGTTGGGACGAAGAGGTGGAGTTGCTGCGGGAGGAGATGAAGAGGGTGTTGCGTTATTTGCGATGGGAGCAGCAAGAATGGCAACGCCGCGCCGAGAGGGAATGACCAGATGTCGATCAAGAAACAGCGGCGGGGATCAAGGCTTACGCATTGCGCCAAGTCTCTGTCAATCAACGGATCGCAGCGAAGTTCTTCGCAGAATGGAGCAAAAAGCTGTCAACTCAGGTGCGGGACGCGATGGCCGAGGATGCTGGTATATACGAGGCCACACTCGACGGTGCATCGGCTTTATTGAGGGGTTTGTTTGACGGGGAGGCGGAAACGGAAGGCGGGTCAGAGGGATTCGTTGCTTGACGACGGTACCCATCAGTATCAATCCCCATCAATAGATATGATATCACGCCACCACTGCCAGTCCCCTTCCTGTCGCTCAACCCATTTAATGTTTCCTCCGGTGCATGAGCCAGCTAGATGAGTCCAGAGTCGCTGAGCTCAAAAGCTAGCTACATGGGCGGCACGCCGAGGTTCCTATATGATTCTGAGTAAGCGTCGTTGGCGACATGATCGACGAGGGATCTATCAATCACACGTATCATTCAATCACACGTCAAGTGGCACGTCACCATGTGAGGCCACAAGGTCTGCTTGGTGCCTGCCGCCCCTCCGCCCTCGCGCCTTCCCTCGCGCCCTTTTGCAGCTCTGCTCCCTGCAGTGCCAAACTATAATCTATTCCCATCTCTCTGCCTAAGTACAAGGTACGGTATAGCAAAAACCATGTGCTGATGCCCGACGCCGACGCCGACGCCGACGCCAAGATCAACCCCAACGATGCCAACGTTCAGGGAGTGGCGGGAGTGACTGGTGGGAGTGACTCGCGCGGAAGCTACATCATGACACTTGTCCGCGCTGTCAAACGCCCTGTTTTTTTGGCCCGAATAATGACCTATATCAAGTGACAACGCAGGGCACATTGTCCAAGCTGTTGATTGTATACTAAACTATGGGGCCGAGGGAGCGCCGACCTGATGTTAAAATGACGGAAGATCACGCTCCCTTCAGGTCGTATCATGATATCACGGCAAAACCACCCCCTGGATATAACCGGGTGGGTTTCAATCCGATATCGTGGTTGTAACCAGGGCTGTTTGAAAAATGCTCCAGCCACGGGTGAACGACAAGAAACGCACCAAAGACCCCATCCGTTCTTTCGCCCGTCCACAATATGACACACAGACGGCAAACAAGCAGCTAGATGGCGGAAGTGAGCAGACGTAGGAAAATACTGAGGACAGAAACTCACAACACGGCCCGTGCCGACGCGCTTTTTCTCCCCATGGCCCCGACGCCCCATTGTTTGCCGCGCGTCCCCGTCCTCGCTGGGCCACACCAGCCTGTCCTGCAATCGTTTGCGGCCAACCATAAGCAGCCAGTGTTGGGGCAAACACTTGGCTTTGTGCACGGGGAACGAGAATCCCAGAATACCTGAAAATATGCAAGGCCAGAAAACGCCGAGCGACAAACGAGTGCTATCGCGCACCAAGCAGACCAGCCAGCCACCCATCTGTCCTGAGCCCTCCCTCTCTTCGTAGCCTCCCTCTCCGTTGGTAGCCTTCGCCGACAGCGCTCGTGCCACGTATCATCCGCGCCAACTCAATTTAGCCCAGGAAACTTGAAAGTCAGTCAAGCGCCACGCAGTCGGCCTGGACAACGCACCAGACGGCCCACAGACGTCAGACGCGCCACACACGGGCCTCGACACGTCGTAGCCTGGCCGGGAGGGAGGCGGGCGCATCCTTGGTGGAGGAGCGGAAGAAAGAGCGATAACGCCCGTCACGCGTTCCCGCCCGATCGATCGGTCGATCAGCGTGATGCTTCTCTCTTTCGTCTCGCCCGCCATGTGCCTGCGGCGCCCCGAGCGCGCCTGCTGCGAGCGCGGGACATACTGCTGTGCGTCACGACCGTCTCGAGGAGGGTGACCGACGGGTCCGGGGTGGCGCGGCTGCGCGTGACCGGCCGGCCGGTCTTCCCTTCTTGAAGGCTTCTTCCCGTCCTCCACCACTTTGGCTTGCAGTCCGGTCCTCCCGGGCTATACCCTCCCTCCCTCGTATGCCACGTGCATGACGCACACCCACGCTCCGATGCGCTATAATCGTCCTCTCCCCTGCATTATATCGTCAACGCTCCGCTGCTGCAGTCCTGCTGACTCGAGCCTGAGCAGGATGGCCGCCTCCGTTTCTGTCTAGCGGGACGCTAGCGCGACCGTAGCAGTCTGCAAGCTACTATGAGAGAAGGGCAGGGGTGGATAGTGTGTGGTGTATATCATATTCAGGTGCGCCCGAGCCTTGTTTGCTGTCGACTTTCTGTTTGCCAGCCTGAGCGCTGACCGTTTTTCCCTCACTGGCAGATGTCCTCTTACTCTTACTACGGTGACTCTGAGCCGGCCACAATGGACTATGTACCGCCCGTATACGCGCCTCCGTTGCTCTATTACGACGACCCGCTAACTCGACTCTCCGCGAGGACCTGGAGGGAGAAGCGGGTCGGGGCGCGGCGCATATGGAAAAGCGCTAGCTATCCTAATGGAAGCAAAGCGTCCTAGCAATGCATATATCTGCCCTCAAGCCATGCGTCGTTGCGCTTGCTGCTCAGTGCGATGACGGCCCGCGGGGGGCGTGAGCTCGGACGAAGAGAAGGCGACGTGCTTTTCGCTGAGTGGGGGTCTAGAAGAAGGACCTGGCAATATCGGAGGCCCGGTAGTCGACGCCGATGGCAATGCCTTCGTCCAAGCTCTCTGTCGTCCCAGCAGTGAACAAAAGGCAATCTCATGTCATTTCGAGAACTACTCGGACAACCTTAGGCCTGCATAGCCGCGAATACACCCCCGCAAGGCGACTGTCCCCCCCCCCTGCGCAGCCGATGCGAAATTGGCATGGATATCAGCCAGACAACTCGTGAGTCAGGCGGTATATTTTGTCAAGCTTCTCGGCAAATTGCGCCGGCAAGCTGGCGTCGGCGGGAGCTGGCGCTGGACCAAATATGATGTCCTGGAGAACCGCGGCGGACACCGACGAGCCCGCGCTCCGCGCAGAAGTACAGCAGCCTCCGTGTCATCGACTCGCGCACGGCAGCGGTATGCAAATTCGCGCGGAGAAAGGCGACTTGCATGGTTTTGACTTCGTCGAACCTGCAGCGCTCGTCAGTTGGAGGCAGCAGAAGAGAAGCGGCGAGGCGGACATGGCCGTGAAGTTCGAGAACACTTCGTGCACGATGATGTTGACGGAAAGCCGCGCGCGGATCGCCTCGAACGCGAGCACCTTTAGTTCCGCGAGGCCGTGCTGTTCATGAGTGCTCAGCGCTCAGTAGATACTCTTAGACTGGAAGGTGCCTCACCTTTTCCGCAAGTTTGTACATGGACTTCGGCGAGCATTCTGGTGCCCCGTCTTCTCTTGGCTGCCTCAAGCCGAAACGCGAGGCCCTGCCGCCGACCTCACGGAAGTGTATCTTGCCTGTGTAAAGGTAGTATATCAAGGCTTTCCAACTATGCGACACTGTGAATTCAACGGCCTCCAATGAGAAGACGACCAACGTGTTGTAAGCATGCCCCTTGATGACAACGCGATGGCCGTGGCGCCCCTGAAGCTCTTGTTGAGCTATAACATCAGGCGATGGCGAGCGCTGTGTGCTTGGTCCGGCGAAGGGCGGCTGTGTCTCATCTAGTTGTGTTTCATCTGAGCAATGGGGAGAGAACGACGGCTCGCTTACCGGCTTCTTCGCCGTGAATATCCGCGTCCCCGTCGAATTCCTCACCGTCCTCGAGGTCGCTGTCGGACATGTAGTCGTACCCGTCAAACGCATCCTCGGGAGCCTGGTCATTCGTGATATCCGTCTGCCCCGATTCGGAGAAACCGCTGAACATGTCGTCAAGATCTGGACATTCAACTTTATCAGCAAAAAAAACACAGATGAGCACACAAGTACCTTCATCGAACTGTTTCGAAGTCCCGCGCATAAGCCTGAGATTCCCGTAGAGCGGACGGGAATTATAGACGTAGCCATTCCGCGCGCGCGAATATGCCCAGAACTTGACATCGATAAGCTCGCCGCCATGGATCGTGTCGACAAGAGAGGCGCGAACGCGTGTTGGGAGGGGCTCGTCCGAGAATGGGAGGCGGGTCTGGATGGTGACAGGTTGGGGAGGAGTGAGCGCGAAGGTGGCCTCAAAGGAGACGGTAAATTTCAAGGTTGGAGTCGTTTTGAGCGGAGAGCCTTTCGCGAAGCGGCTTTTCATCTTGCGTGTCCACGAGCCGATAAGCGCTGGATCGGGAGTGTCCTGAGGAGGCTGAGGATTTGGGGATTCAGATATGGAGCAGATCAAGGGGAGACTGAGGGAGAAGTTCCCAATGGCGGGATGGGTCCTAAAGGAATACTCCGACAGTCCTGTTGCTGCGACAGTGCACGATACACATCAGGAAAATGACAAAGCCTTCTACGGCCTTGTAGGGCCTTGTAGAAGGCCTACAAGGCCGTAGAAGGCCCACAAGGCCATACAAGGCCGGCCTTGTGGAGGGCCTTCTACAAGTCATGTCTCATCCTTGTAGAAGGCCCTACAAGGTCAGAAGGCCTCACAAGGCCTTACAAGGCCACTCACAAGGATGCTCACAAGGACTTAAAAGGCTTACAATGTACAATGAATGCAGCAATAAATGTATTGTGTTGCTACTTAATACACAGAACGAGCTCCACTACCATACTACGATATATCCGGAACCACTACACCGTGCCGCAACACCAGCCAACACCCACGCCCGGCATCCTGGTGCACCACGCGAAATGCGGCCGCTCCACGTGCATATGCTCCTGGACCAAGTACTAGTGTGGACGGTGTCGGTCCCTCGGAGCGTCGACTGCAAGGGGCGGCACATCGGCGCGACCGCTGAGTCGATTCACGTCGGGTGCCACGCGTTGCGGCCGAGTGCTGCTGCGTCACGTTCATGGCAGTATTCGAAGGCCTCCAATGTGGTCAGCGCTTCGACATGGCCAGCGTGTCCGTGTCGTGGGCTTAAATTAGAGCGTGGTCAGCACTGGGAAGACTGCTGGAAAATTAC